CAATGCTTCAATAAGTATTAAATGAACTTTGACACTTTGAAGTTTTAACTAAATTCTTCCGCTAATTAACAGAATAATAAGATTTTTGTAATTCAGAAGATTCGATATATTTTAAGAACACTTGAGTGACGACACCTATTGAAACAAATACAAATAGCTTTGACGTGTGTCATAATGAAAAGACACAAAAGATTGTGGTTATATAATATTGTCAAAAAGACACATTGAAACAATTACGAATAACTTTGACGTGAGTCAAGTGTTAGTTTCAACTTTTTCAATGCTTCAATAAGTATTAAATGAACTTTGACTTTTACACTTCAAAGTTTTAATTAAATTCTTCCGCTAATTAACAGAATAATAACATTTTTGTAATTCAGAAGATTCGATATATTTTAAGAACACTTGAGTGATGACACCTATTGAAACAAATACAAATAACTTTGACGTGTGTCATAATGAAAAGACACAAAAAAGATTGTGGTTATATAACATTGTCAAAGTGCAAATTACCAACATAAATATAATAAGAACTAAACAAACATTAGTAACTGGAATCGATTATCAAATGAAACGATAAATTTATTTAACTGATTAGATTTGAACGTTTCATCTTTTACTGATTTGATTGACGTTAAGAAATTTTGTAAATTTCCATGACAACCAGTAATGTTTCGAGCCTGCTGGTACATCTGTTGAAGTTGAAGCTTTTCGTTCCGAAACAATGGTTTAAAGGAGAAGTTGACATCTAAAAATATCATCTTCTTGTCTCGTGTACTTTTTTTTCAATGTTGTGCCTCATAAGTGGATTAAAATTAGTTCCAATTAAAACATATGCGAACCAGAAAGCGACAGAGTATGTCACGTTCTTTCGGTCCCGAATTGTCACCAGAAGAAGAAGAAAAAAAGAGGAACATCAAGGACGCAGCCGAAGAACATGAAAACGAGATGTAAGAAAAAAATCAAAGGAAACTATGTAGTTTTGTTTCGTTTTTTGTTTTATTCTTCTTCATCTTGTTGTTTTGTTTTGTTCTTGTGTGTTTGTATGTCTTTTAGCATATGAAATGCGTATATCTCAGTATTGCACTTGAAATATGATTGAAGCACTCCGGTCCGGTCTTGAGACACCCACACGGCCCCGCCGTTATGAAGATGGTGGAGAGAACGAACGAAAGAACGCACGACGGACACACAAAGTATAAATAAATAAAAGCTAAAATATATACACACACGTACTATGTCTAAACACGCGGTTCTTAAAGACTTCAATCACTCTTCCTCTCTCTCATTCACATTCAAGCTCTCATTTCAGTCGCACTCTTTAAGTCTGTGATTTTCTTCACTGTGTGTGTATATAAATGCATGATGTATATCTCTTCAATATTATTTTCATATCTTTTGATTATTTATGTATCCGTTGGATTAAATTACGTTCGCCGAACTGTTGGACGTTCGGTGTGGCGGATTTATACGTCGGCCTTTATAATACTGTGGAAATGAACAGAGAGAGAAAAGTAATGAAACAAAATAATATTTTTGTTGCTTAGCAAAAGGCGAAGGCTAATCGAAAAAAGTTATGTCATCTTCGGATTCAGTGTGGGATCGAAATTGGAGCTCGGTCCACATGAAAACTTTGCAAAAAAAAAACAGAAAATAATTAAATTGGAATAGAAAGAAACTTAATAACCAAGTGCTAATGATCGACACATAATTTACAACTCGTAGAAGAAAAAAATAAAACGAAATTGTTTTTGCGTCATTTGCAGATGTTCAATTCAAAAGAAATTCGATAAATTGATACAATTACTTACAATTTGACGTATGTCAAAAAAATAATATGACAGATGTCATGAAACAAATGTATTCTGTTTACGTCAAAAAACACAATTCCTATAATAGTATTATATAAATGCACACATATTCATTTCAGACTTTTACAAGTTTTTAACAAACAAACAAAAAGCTTATTTTCTGTTTCAGTAATATTTTTTATCATGTAAAATTATATAGAAAATTCGATAGTTTTTAAAACAAAAAACACTAATTGATACAATTATTTACAATTTGACATATGTCAAAAATTAATATGACAGATGTCATGAAACAAAGGTATTGTGTTTACTTCAAAAAATAAAACACAGTTCCAATAATATTATTATATAAATGCACACATTTTCATTTCAGACTTTTACAAGTTTTTAACAAACAATAAAAAACTTATTTT